GCCTGGCCACGCCTCTCCCCCCCCCGCCTTGCGTGGCCACGCCCCCAGCCGTCTGCTGTTCCTCAGCCAGTGGACCTAGGGCAGTATCCAGCCCCTTCCAGCCTCCTGGCAGCAGGCCTCACCTCCAGGGCATCTCCTACCTCTGACATCACTCTAGTTGTTCTACGAGGTCACACTTATGTCTCCGCGTAAATCCTGATTTCGCACTTTAGGTGCACACAGCTTCTCCAGGTGTCTAAGGATGCACGTGTGGTGCTTAGGGCAGAGGGAGTAACTGGGTAGGATTGGAGGAGGTTCTGGGCGCTCAGCTGGACTCCCACTCCCACATAATGACCCAGGTGGCGTGAAGGTTTCCGATTTGCCCTAAGCAGATTTGCTTTTCAAAAAAAAAGCAAAGAGAGAAAGAAAAGCAGGAGAGCCCACTAATGAATGACTTCTGTTTCTTTGTTCCTGGTTCCTAGGAGAGGATTTGCCTGGCTAAATGGAGACTCTCTAGTTTCAGTAGAAATGACAGCTGCTCAAGAAGCACCTTCTTGTGACCAGCTGAAGGTCATGATGAGGCCTGTGTGGGGGCCGAGCCTGGAAGGGGAGAAAGATACTCACAGACCTGTGAACCTGGAAGGAGGAGATGCTCAGGATGCCCAGGCTGGAGTGGCTACCTGCAGTGTGCTCCTCTAGGTCCTGAGAGCCCCAGCTCGCTTTTCAGGAGAAGACATCAGGGAGACCCAGGAAAGACAGGCGTGATCCATGTAACCCTCAGAGATTCCACAGGGACTTGTGTATAAATATGTGTAAGCATGTGCAGTATGACCCACATATATGACATATATGCCTTTGTCCTTTGAGAAGACTCTGGACCAAATACCCCATCAGCGACCATGAGAACACCTAGTCCAGAGCCTGTTTTTTTTTTTTTTTCCTTTGGTACCAGGGATCAACTCGGGTCCTTGTGCTTGCAAGGCAGGCCACCGAACCGCTGAGCTAAATCCCCGGCCCCAAGCCTGCTTTTTAAATACCTCTAAGAACAGAACCCAGTGCCCACTGAAGGACTAGGGCCCGGCAGGAACATGAAGGGTGCAGGAGGCAGAAATTAATGCATTTGAGATAAGGAAAACAGTACAAAGAATCAACAAATCAAAGAGTTGGTTCTTCAAAAGATTAATTAAAACTGACAAACCCTTAGCCAACCTTATCAAAAAAAGGAAAGAAAATACTCAAATCCATGCAGTTAGGAAGGAAAAGGGTGAAGTGACAACAGATCCTACAAAAACCCAGAAGATCACCATACACACATTAAGAACATATATACTAAAAAGGTGGAAAACACAGAAGGAACAGATAGATTCCTAGAGACATATGAATTACCAAAGCTGAATCAATTAGATATAAAATTTCTAAATAAACCAATATCAGTCAATAAAATTTAAGATGTAATTAAAAACCTACCAACAGGGAGGAGGGGGTGAAGGGAGAGCAGAGGTAAGCAGGAAAAATGAGAATCAAGACTTGTCATGTAGAGGTACAAGATCCCAACAATGAATGTAACTGTACTGTAGCCCTAAAATGTACCAATAAACTCAATTAAAGCTGAAAAAAAAATTAAAAAAATAAAAATAACCTACCAACAAAGAAAAGCCCACGCTCTGACTGATTAACTGCTGAATTCTACAAGAAATTTAGAGAAAATCTAATGTTGTTACTCTTCAAATTCTTTAATGAAATTGAAAGGGAAGCAATACTCCCAAAATCATTCCTGGAGGCAACCCTTAAACTGGTAACAAAAGCAGAGAAGGATCCAACTAACAGAGAGAACTACAGGCCAATCACCACAAAAATCCTCAATGAGATACTAGCAAACAGAATGCAGCAAATCAAGATTATACAACCTGACCAAGTAGGACTCATCCCAGGGATGCAAGGATAGTTCAACATACACAAATCAATAAATGTAATATACCATACAGAGACAAGGACCAAAACCACATGATCATCTCAATAGATGCAGAAAAGGCATTTGACAAAGTCCAACACCCATTCATGAGAATAATAATAAAAACCTAGAGAAAATTGGAATAGAAGGTATTGCTCAACCTGATAAAAGCCATCTATGACAAACCAATAACCAACATCATACTAAATGATCAAAAACCGAAAGCTTTCCATCTAAAATCAGAAATAAGGATGTCCATTATCACCATCTGTATTCAATGCATTTCTGGAAACAGAGCAATTAGACAAGAGAAATAAATACAGGGAATTGGATAGGAAAGGAAGAAGTTAAGTTATCATTATTTGCAGATGACAAAACATTCTATATAGAAGACCCCAAAAATTTCACCAAAAGATATCTAGATTTAATAACCAAATTCAGTAGCACAGCTGGATACAAAGTCAACACGCAAGAAATCAATAACATTGCTGTACACAAATAATAAACTCACTGAGAGAGAAATTAGGGAAACCACGCCTTTCACAATAGCATACAAAAATAATAAAATACCTAGGAATCAATCTAAAGAAGGAAGTAAAAGACCTTTACGCTGAAAACTATAGTACTCTGCAAAAGAGACAGAGGATATCAGAAGGTAAGACATCCCTTGTTCTTGGGTAGGAAGAACCAATATAGTGAAAATGGCCATACTTCCAAAACTGTTATACAGATTTATCAAAATACCACACAACCCTCACAGAATTAGAGAAAACAAGCCTGAAGTTCATTTGGAACCAGAAGAGAACTAGAATAGCAAAATCAATTCTATACAACAAAGTCAAGGCAGGAAGCATCACAATCCCTGACTAGAAACTACATTACAAAGCTACAGTGAGAAAATCAGCATGGTACTCAAAACAAAACAAAAACAGACCTGTGGATCAGTAGAACAAACAGAAGATGCAGAAATAACTCCAAACACACTTAGCTATCTTATCTTTGACAAAGGAGTCAAGCAGCTTCAATGGAAGAAAGCCTTTTTAATAAGTGGTGCTGGAAAAACTAGCTCTCCACTTGCCAAAGATGAAAATTAGACCTGTATCTTTCATCATGCACTAACCTAAAATCAAAATGGATCAAAGATCTAAATATTAAAACAGAAACACTAAATCTGGTGGAAGACATAGATACAATTCTTAAAGACACTGATGTAGGCAAAGACTTTATGAACAAAACTGATTATACAGAAAATATCACAATCAAAGACTGAAATCTCCTCTAAAAATATTTTGCACAGCAAACCACCAACAGAGTGAAGAGACAACCACAATGTAGGAAAAAATTTTCCAGCTGTTCCTCAAAGGAATAATATCTAGAATATATAAACTCAAAAAATCAGACCCCTCAAATTTAAATACCCAATCCAAAAATGTGCATCTAAAGTGGATAGACATTTCTCAAAGAAGTAGAAATGGCAAATGAATATATGAAAAAATGTCTAACATCACTGGTCATTTGAGAGATGCAAATTATAACAACCCTCAGATTCTACCTCCAGAAAAATGGCTATTATCAAGAAATCACCCAGTAACAAATGCTGGTGGGGCTACTGTTGGTGGGAGTGTAGGCTGATGTAACCACTGTGGAAATCAGTGTGGAGATTCTTCAAAAAACTAAAACTAGAAGTTCCCTTTGACCCAGCTATTCCCCTTCTTGATATCTTTTCAAAAGAATTAAAAGCATCATACCACAATATATGCACACCTGTGTTTATAGCGGCACAGTTTGTAATGGCTAAATCTTGGAAACAGCCCAAATGCCCATCAACTGATGAGTGGATAAAGATGTGGGTTTTTTTTTTTAATACAATGGAGTACTATTCTGCCATAAAGAAGGATGAGCTTCAGATATTTATAGCTAAATGGATGGACTTTGAAGCCATTCTCTTAAGTGAAGTAAATTGAGCACACATGTTTAACTACATTGTTTCGCTGATGTGAGAAACCCAAAAGTGGAAAAAAGGACTAAAATGTATAATAGATATTGGGAAATGGGAAGGGGAACAAGGGAGAGGGAGGAAGAATGGAAGGGACAAGAAAAAAGTGAAAACAGAAGGAAAAATGGAAACAAAGCTTATGTATATAGGGAGGGCAGGGGTGTAAGAGGGGAATAGGATAAAATAAAACTTACTTTAAAAATAGAAAATACAGGGCCGGGGATTTAGCTCAGTGGTTCAGTGACCTGTCTTGCAAAAGCAAAGACCCGAGTTCAATCCCAAGTACCAAAAAAAAAAAAAAAAAAAAAAAATAACAAATATTGATGAGGCTGGGGCTGGGGCCTTCTTCATTCTGAGTGGGAATGTTAACTAGTACACCCATATAGAAATCAGTATGGTCAAGCAGGGTAGCACACATTTGTAATCCTAGGGGGGATTGTAAACCTCAGAAGGCTGAGGCAGGAGGATTGTCATGAGTTTGAGGCCAGCCTAGGCTACAAAGTGAGTTAAAGACCAGCCTAAACTACAAAAGTGAGACCTTGTCTCAAAAAAAACAAACAAAAAAAAGTGCCAGACGGTGCCACCGATGGCCTCACAAAGCACAAGGTCCCAAGTTCGATCCCAGGTACCAAAAGAAAACAATCTTTTTAATTTAAAAATTGTAAAAAGAATCAGTATGGAGATTCATCAAAAACCTAGAAGCAGAAATTCCATTTAACCTAACTATTCCCCTTCTAGGTAACTTCCCAAAGAGTTAAAGTCATCATATTGCAGTGATGTTTATTGCAGCCATGTTTATACAGCCAAATTCACAATATCTAAATCTTGGAAGCAGCCTGTGTATCCATCAACAGGTGAATGGATAAAGAAAACAAGATGTATGGACACAATAGAGTGCTACTCCTACATACAGAAGCACAAACTTAAGTCATCAGTAGGAAAATGGAGGCCCTTTGAGACCCTATGTTTAAGAGAAATAAACCAGATACATAGGCTTAAATATCACATAGATATCTTATGTGTGAAACCCAAAATATACATAGAGAGCCATATAAAATATAATAGACAATAGGGAGAGGGAAGGCAGAGGAAAATGCAGATGGGAGGGAAAGGAGAGAAAGGGGACATAAAAGAATTGAGAAGTTACGTGCATGGTCCAACTGCTCAAGAGTAACGTCATCATTATGTACAAAAATAAAAACAAAAAATAAGCAAAAGAAAGAAAGCAGCAGCTCTCGTGCACAGGAGTGAGGAGAGTGGCAATCAGTCCAGAACCTAAGGGCAAGAATCACACAGTGGCCCTGCTGTAGTACCATGCTGGCCTCGGTACCATGCTCATAACCACCCAAGTGGAGGGAACCATGTGCTTCTGTTTGCTGAGCAAACAGCTCCTGAATCCGGCTCCCGGAGCCAGGGTCACTGCTCACAGCAGCCTCGCTCTCCTGGTCAGTGTTTCCACGTGCAGTGTGTTCAGGGCTGTGGCACATAAGCTGTATCTGTTCACATGAAGTTTAACTGAGCAAAGCTTCTAGGAAGATTAATGAATTTTTCAGGAAAAGTTAAAAGGTGAGGGGCAGGTGGGAAATTTCTGACTGGGCTCCAGAGTTCAGCCCCGAATGTTGGCCCTGGATGGCCCCTCCACTGATCCCAACCCTCTAGCTTTTGCTCAATTTCTTTGGGTCACAAGGAGCTGGGGAAGAGAAGGAAGCTTTTTCTTGCATATCGAGCGTTGAGACCATCCCGACCTTCTTCCCAAGGCCCACACACGCTCTCTTCCCAAACACATGAAATGAAATACAGACCACACAAGTATATTTCAAGACAATGCAAATTTTATATCATAAAATGTATACTATTTACACCATAAAATTATGTGGACTTTGAGTAATGTGCAACAGGGACTAAAGGGATTGCAAGGGCCCAAGAAAACCAGAATTAAGACTCCTTAGAAAGAGATCACCTAACATAATAACGTAAGATTAATAGTATAATAATGTAGTGTGTGCGACATAGTGACGATGGATAAAATTAAAAACAAAAACTGGCGACTAAAACTTACACTGACCTATATGACAACAGCACAGCAGGATTAACACTTCTGCCCCATCCATCCATGACAGTGAATGAATGCCAGCCTCCCCACTATGGAGATGATAAAACTGAGGCATCAAGAAGAAAAGTGCTAGTCAGAGCCAGGAGGGCGCTGCCTCCAGGCCCCTGAGCTGGGGAGTCTGTGCTCCCTAGGTGGCTCCAAGGGACCCCGTGCTCCCTAGGCCCTCAGGGAACCCAGGTGCAGGAGGAGGAAACAGCTGCTCAGGGCCATTACAGTCACTGGGCGCCACCTGCTGGCTCCCTGGGGTTCATAGCTTCTCCAGCTCGGGGCAGAGAAGAGAGTGGTAAAACGTTTACCAGGCACAAACTGTGGCTTTTCATTCCCTTGGGACTTCTCTGTGCTCAGAAGCCCTAAAATCAGACTGGGCCCTTTCCAGAGGCTCTCACTGCAGGTCACAGTCACAGACGGGGACACTGGAGAAGACAGTCCATGAAAACTTCTCTGTGCTCAGAAGCCCTAAAATCAGACTGGGCCCTTTTCCAGAGGCTCTCACTGCAGGTCACAGTCACAGACGGGGACACTGGAGAAGACAGTCCATGAGTTCCACTTCCCCACTGAGGTACAGGGAACAGGGCTGGTCCTCCTGCTTTTTTTTTTTTTCACTCGGGCTGAAAGCCTTACTAACCCCAGACCCTAGTCTGTTCTCACACTAAATCTGACAACAGGAGGATGGGCTTGGGCTGTGGCCTTGTGTTCCTGCTTGAACAAGATGCTGAGGTGGGCTGTGGGCCAGGAAGGACCTGGCAGGTGACACCAGGTGGGGCCGACCCAGCGCTGAGGGTCTCACTCTGCCCTGCCCTGCTCAGGCTGCTTCCTGGTTATGGCCCTGGACTGTTAACTTCCTGAGCCACCTGCCTGTCTTTCTCTAGGATGCCTAACAGGACCGGCAACTCTGAAGTCCATACACTCAGACATGCCTGCCCCGAGGCACAGAGGGGGTGTCCCTAGGAGAAGCTCCAAGGAAGGGATGGCCAGTGCCTGCTCTGGACTTGAAGCCAATGGAGGATTTCACAGATCTCAGGAGTTGTCCACAAACCTCCCAACACATATGGGTCCAGTGAAGCCTTCTTTCAGTAGCATCGAGGCCCTGGGACTTTTTGACTTCCACAGGCGCGGTCTGAGCCGGGGACTCAGGCACTGTCAAGCTGCAGGTGTCTGAGTAAGAGGAGTGGATGACTTCCCCATCACAGTGCAAATCCCAAAAGGCCCTTGTGTAGCTGTCCTCTCGAGGCTCACAGCCCCAAGTCTCCTGGAGGAAATGGCGTCCTGCCCCAAACCAACCCTCATTGACCATCCCCTCACCTCTGCCTTCCCTGCCCAAGTCAGAAACTGCAGCCCTGAGGAACCCTCCCCGGCTCCTCTATGTCCCCCACGCTGGCTGAACAACAGCTTACTGTGTGCTGAGCACCACAGACCCTATCTCCTCTCCCCTGCCCAACCAAATGAAGTGAAAACAGATTCCTGCTCGAGCTCTGAGCACTCCTGGGAAAGGCCATGCCCCACCCTGGCCCCACCCACACTTACCTCCTTTGCGCTCCTGCAGGTTTTCATATTGGCTAGGAATACACTGTGGCTCTTAACTCTCTCTGCCAGGTACTGGATCTCAGCTCCCAGGTCAACTTCAGCCTGCAGCTGCTGCAGCTTTGCTACGTTGCTCTCATAGGACAGGGTGGGCTGCTGATGACACTCAGTAAAGGCACGTGGGAGCACAAGCCCATCTTAGGTCCTCACTGTGAGGATACAGCAGAAACTGGGGCCCTGGGGAAGAGAAAATTACAGGTGACACTTATCCTGAGAATAGCTGCACAGCAATGTTCCCGCAGGGGCCCTGCTGCCCTCCCCTTCTGGAGGGCACATGGACAGAAAAAGGATTTGTAATGCCACACAAACAGCACAGGAAAGACGAATAAGGTGGGAATGAAGGCATGAAGAAGCGGACGCGGAGTCTGGCTGGCAGGCAGTCTGGGCGACGATAGGGCACAGGATCCCTAAAATACAGGTGGGAAGTCAATGGAAAAGCTGGCCTGCAGGGCACAGGGAAGATTTAGGGCCAGAGCTGATGGCAGGGACTGCCAGAGGGCATGGAGGGCACAGAAGGGGCTGAGGGGGAGGCAGGGCAGGGCAGAGGGAGGAGACTGAGGCCTCAGTGAGGCTCCTTGTGGTCAAGGTGGGGAGGGGAAGTCAATCTGTGTCCCAGAGGGAAGGGAAGGTACGGACTAGGTACTAGGTGGAAGAGTCAAGTCAGGCATGGTGGCAAATGGCTGTCATCCAAGTACTCAGGAGGCTGAGGCAAGAAGGTGAAAAATCTAAGGTAAACTCAAGATAAAAATTAGAAACTTCTAGGAAAACGGCAGAGTGCTAAACAGCAACAAATCAACCTTTCCAAGATTCAGAATCCAGACACTGGAAAATCGCAACTTGGAGAAGAAAAGAAGGAGGGAGGTGGATCCCCAGGACACAGGAAGAATGTGAGGGAAAATGGGAGCCTACAGAGAAAGTAAAGAGACAGAACACAATGCAGAAAAAGGAAGAGGCACCGTTTCCCCAGCTCCTGGCTAACTGCGAGAGAGAGAGAGAGAGAGAGAGAGAGAGAGAGAGAGAGAGAGAGAGAGAGGGAGAGAGACAGAGAGCGATAGAGAAGAATCAAATCTACAAAGATAGGGTGGGGGTGTGACTTCAGGGCTTCCAGGGAGAAATGTGCTGGTGGACTAAAGCAGTGAATGCTGTGTGCTACAGCAGCTGGTGAGTGACTCCCATCCAAGCGACTGCCGTGTCCCTCTAGAGAGTGCCAGGCCAGACACCATTTTAGGGAAGGGCCAAGTGAAATGAGGACTCAGAGCAGCCACAGGTTGGCTTTATCTCAGGGATGCCGGTGTGGAAATCCTACAGTGACTGGATGAGGGACGACCTTGGAGAAATCTGGGGTTAGGGAATCCAGGTCAGGTTGCAAAGAGAAGACCCAGGGTGTGGTAGGCTGAACAGCTCAGAACCACAACCAGAGGCCAGGATCAAACTGAACCTCTGTGGAGTTGAAAGCACCAGAACTGGCACCCCACCCTAACCCTACTGCAGGCCTGGTGGGATTATCCAGCTGGATCTGAGCTCTGTCTGCCTCCTGTGACTACCAGTGACAGAAGAGATAGCCCTGAAATGGAAACTACCACAAAAACTGTGGACCCCAGAAAATAACCACAGTCCTGAAATCACCTAGAAATCCTTTTTTCTGCTTTTTCCATTTGTAATTCTTTGTTTTTGTGTTTTCATGAGTGTGAACATTATTTTTTTAAAAATTGAAGAGGAAAGATCTTGAGACAGACTCAAAAGCCAAAAGCCAGCTATGCCTACAAGACATCTCTGAAAAGTAGGGATTTTTTTGTTTGTTTGCTTGCTTTTGTTTTGCTTTGTTTGGTTTGGTTATTGAAATAGGGTCTTGCTATGTAATTCGGGCTGGCCTTGAACTCACTATGTAGCCCAGGCTGACCTCAAACTCATGGTGATCCTTCTGCCTCAGCCTTCCAAGTGCTGGAATTATAGGCTTGTGCCAACATGCCCAGCCAAAGTAGTCAATTCCTATAAAGGTCTCAATATTAGCAGTTAAGCTTCCTACCAAAGCAATTTACAAGCATTAACGCAAAAAACAAGTTTTAAAAATAGAAAACGAAAAACCACATAAGTAGGATGCAACCCCAAACCTCCAGCTCACCCAAGGCAAATCTGGGAAGCATTGAAGTGGAAGAAATCAAAGGCCAGAGGCCAGCGCAGCCCCCTTGGAGCAGGGCAGCTGCCCATGTTGCAAGACTGCTGGCCCCAGAGGCCAAAGCCTCACCTCCCGGGCTGTTTCCAAAGCTGAGGGGGGAGGTCGGCTGAGGCGGAGTACAGGAGCACGGGCCAGGGCAAATCCCAAGTGAAGCCACTTCGCCAAACTTGCAGCAGCGATTGCAGCACCCGGGTGGGCCAAAAGCTTCTGTAGCTGCTGCCTGTAGCCGGTGGGGGACACGACGAGGACTGAGACTGACACTTCTGCTCCCGTGGCCTGCCACTTACGTGGACCCCTAACCCGCTCCAGAGCTGCGCCATTAAAAGAGTAAAAAAAAAGCGGTCCTTAGCCCCTCCTCCCCTTCCTGCTCATTCGAGAACGCCCCCACCTCCTGCCACGCCCAGCCAAGCATCCCATCCCTGAAGCCAGTGGCTGCGCTTGCTTTTGTACTGGGAGAAGTGACTAAGGCGAACCTAGAGAGCAGCTCCATCCCCACGGGCTCTCTCTTTCTGGGAGCGGGGCACGGACTGCGGGTCGAGATCGCAGACCGCTTTCGGCTCTCTGCCAAGGACAGCTAGTAGCACAGCCCATGCCGCAAGTGCTCCTGCTGCCAGTCGCAGATGGGCAACATCAGCACATCCTGTGACACCAAGAGCTGCAGGATCCTTTGCAGAGAAACGACTGCATTAGGTTATTTGGGAATAGCAGTGCTTGCAGTGATTCCTGTGAGCCAATATATCCCGCGGGAGCAAGGTAAAGTGTATCATTTTCTGTGTTTCACCTGCTCTACTTGCCCAAATCACCTGGTCCGGGGAGATCCTTTTCACTACATCAGTGGCAGTTTATTCTGTGAACATGATAGACCTATAGCTTTCATCAATGGCCATTTGAATTCACTTCAGAGCAACCCACTACTGCCAGACCAGAAGTCTGCTAAAGGGTCAGAGAAATGCACAATACATGCCTCAGATTTCCTTCAACGCTAGGCAGGTCAGCTTTGTAGCTAGCACCAGTACCAGCTCCATGCCACTGTACCTTCTTTAATCTTGACTGCCCTTCCTGCATTTACTGGTGTATTAAAATGAATGAATATGAACATTAAGGACTCCATGAACCTGGGCTAACGGGAGACTGTAAAGAAAATGAAAAAATGGTCCACCAGAGGACATCTTTGGGAGGGAGGGATTTTAGGGGGAGAGTAATGAGTAATGAAGCTAATTAAAAGAAACATTGAAATCTGCTTTCTACCCTCATTAACAATTAGCAGGGCTGGCCAGGGTTTGCACCTGGAGCTCTACCTTAATGGCATTCTAATTGCTCTTTGTATATTTAAATACAAAGAAATGTAGTATAGAAATGTGTTTCGATCTAAACTGAACAAGCATGTGGCTTTTGTAATATTCTATCACAAACACTTATTGTATCTCTGTAAAACACAATGTATGTGTGTATGTATTTTTGTCCTAATGTTGCTACTCCCAAAGATTAAGCAATGACTAAGAAAAAAGAAAAAAAAATCAGGCTCATAGCAACTATTGTGTAGAAATTTCTTCCTACTTCTAATTTGCTGAATAAAGAAAAAAGTTTTTTATTTGTGATATTTTCAGAGACATTTGCTCTCATATGCTGTATTTAAATAATAAAAACTTAAAATAAAAAATTTTTGAAGAAATCAAAAGCCACCCAGCTAAACTTTCTGAAAAGGCAGTATAAGTAACAATCAGAAAAATGGGTCTTGAGAAAAAACAATCAGAAATAATTACATAAATAACTAAAGAGATGATGACCATAATGAAGGACATGATTAGTGAATCTAGAATAGATACAGATTTAAAAACAAAAAAGAGCTTAGGAAAGTGATGAAAACCATGAATGCCTAACATAAGAAAGAATAGATTCAAAGAGCTATCCAGAATATTAAAAATTCCACTGAAAGTGTACGCAGAAAAATCAAGTGATATGAAGACAGAATATCAGATCTAGAAGACAAGGCTGTAGATGGTAATCATCAAATGAAAGACTTCTGGGCTAGGGATGTAGCTCAGTGGCACTGCGCTAGCATAGCAAATGCAAAGTCCTGAGTTTGATTCCCAGGACTGAAGAGAGAGAGAGAAAAAAAGACTTCTTAAAAATAGCAAGAGACCATGAAAAATCAATCCAACATCTGCTAGATAATGCAAAGAATAACTAAGACTGATTGGAATCAATGAAACATCAGAAGATAACACAAAGGACATAAAAACTCATTCACAGAAGTAATAGCAGAAAACTTTCCAAGCATGAAAAATGAATCTAACATACAGATAAATGAGGTATATAGAAATCCAATTAGCCATGATCAGAAAAAAATTATACCAAGGCACATAGTAGATGAAGAAGCACAAACAGAAAATACATATATGAAAAAAATGTTCAACATCACTGGTTATTTGAGAGATGCAAATTATAACAACACTGAGATTCCATCTCACTGCAGAAAAGAAAGGCTGCCATCAAGAAATCAATCAATAACAAATGCTGGCAGGGCTGTGGGGAGAAAGGAGCCCTCATCCACTGTTGGTGGGAGTGTAGACTGGTGCAACCAATACAGAAGTCAGTATGGAGAGTCCTCAAAAAACTAAACCTAGAGGTTCCATTTGACCCATCTAGTACCCTTCTAGGTATCTTCCCAAAAGAGTTAAGGTGGGGAGGGAGTCTGGGGGCTCCTGCCCTAAGCCTTCAGACTACACCAGCCTCAGGGCTCCGACCAACCAGAGTCCCCCAGGATCAGGAAGGGCCGTGACCTGTGATCCCCACCCATGCAGGCGTCAAGAGAAAATAGCTTAACACGGGGACCCAGGCCCAGGGAGCTGATCCGGGAGAACGCGCAGCCGACTCCGGGCTCAGGCCTGGGACTTGTGCTCCTGCGAGGCAGACCTCCGAGGGTCCCTGAGTGTCGTTTACAGGAGCAGACTGAGGGGCGACCCAGGGAGCTCGGGACGTCGGAAAGATCCTTTTCGGAAGATATCCGAAAAGGAAGAGCAAAACTAGGAGGAGCAGGGGGGGTGGGTCGGTGCCGCTCTGAGACTCAGGTAACGGACTGGGGGCGGGGGAGCTGAAAAAGCGGAGCAGAGTTTGTGACCGCGGAGCTGCCCGCTCCCGCACCGCAGCCGGCCGGTCACTCGGTCCCTTACACGCTCGCGCCCTCAAAGGTCCGCGGAGAACCCACTCACCAGCGGCGACACCCAGGGATGCACACACAGCGACGCCCGCCAGGAGCGGAACTCAGTGCTGCAGAATCCTCCAGATTGGGCGGTGAGCAGCGCCCAGGAGGACTAACCCTCCACCGCAAACTCTCGAAGTCGCCACCCGAGCCACCGCAGCCAATAGTCAACAGAGCTTGCAGCTCTGCTCACCAATCAGATCTTTCCAAGAGAGCCACGTGGTCCCAGCAAAGGGGGAGCAAGGGGACCCGAGTCCAGAAGAGCCCTGTGAGTCCTCCACGCAGCTGGCACCTCGCCTTCCTTGAGGCGCATCACCCAGTCCTGCACACACAGGGAGCCTGGGTCACCCAGAGCTCCCGGAGCCCGACTTCCCACCAGCACCCTTGTTCCTTCCGGGACAACACAGCGGGGCCATGAATCCTTCTCCTAACACCCCCCAGACCACAGCCTTGCTGCCCTGTCACTGCTAGTCAGATGGCCAGACCTGTGCAGCAGATCTCTGCCAGCACCGCCTTACCTACTCATCACCACTCAGAAGCGCCCCCACAGGTGAGTGGCTCAGACTCCAAAGTCTTGGGGGCGCTTCAGCCATGATAATCTCCTCCTTCTGTCCCAGGTCCCAGTTCCCACTGTCTCTTACTGTCTCCTCCTGTCTCCTGGGTGCAGCCAGGTCTCTTTTCCTGTGGCTACATCCTGCACATGTCTGTCTGAGCCACCCAGGGCAGCACATGAGTCCTTCGAGGCCACATAGCACTCCAACCCCAACCACACTCCCTTTACGTTCAACCTGAGGACAGATACAGCTCGGCCCATCTGCCTAAGTCCCAAAGGTCTACAGGCACAGCACACCTCTCCCCACCACCACCACTGGCTGTCCTCAGATCTCCTCACAGCATCACCATCCTTGACCCCTTCTAATTTACCCTCCCCCCCCTCAGGACTCACTGAGCTCCTGCAACCCCTTTTCAGTCCCACAGTCACTACCAGGCCTTCATCTACTTTCAGCCCAGAATAGTGCAGAGAACTCTTCCCGCACGCTGTGCCATCCCCATGACACATGGGCCCCACGCAGCCCACAGCTTCCCCCTCTGCTGAATTAACACAGGAGGCCTCGCCTTTCCCTCCAGAGCCACAGCTGTTACAGCCTGCAGCCCAACACACTGCCCCCAGCTCCTGTTGCCATCTCTCTTGGTCAGCAGTGAAAGCAAACTCCCCTGGTCACCTTAACCCAGCTCAACACAATACCACCATTAAGTAGTCTCCCCATTGGACATGGGTCAACCCTCTGCCTGCTTCCCATCAGACCTCTCTGCATCCATTATGCTAAAAAAAATTGAATTGCACACTTTAAAAATGTGCTTGATGGTTTATGAATTAAACATTAATAATAATGATGATAATAACAACAGTACTTACCTGTGAGACAGTGATAGAGCAATACTATACAATAAGATAGGCCCTTGCCTTGCCTCTGCATTTTTTTTCAGGGAATGTTTTGTTCCATGTAACAGTTTGTGCTGTTGGGCAGCTGCTCCTGCCCAATGTGCCAAAATGTTTTGTTTTTAAACTTGATGACCTTCCAGGAATGTTTGTTAGGTCCACCCCTCTCAGGAATGTTCTGTTAGCCCATCCCCTTACAGGAATGTTAAATCCACTCCCTAGCAAGAATGTTCTGTTAAACTCTGCCCCCGTGTAAGAATGCTCTGTAAGTCCGCCCCTCTGCTACAGTGAGGATGCTCACACAGCATGTATTTGGGAATGTTCTGTAACTCCACCCTTCTGCTTCAGTGAGCATGCTCAGCTACTCTGTAGAACCGTATATAAGAAGGCTCTCGTTTCTGGTGAAGTGTTCAGACTTTGGAATATAAATTTTTCTGAGCCTATCAGTGTAATAAAGCTTTTTCTCCACCTCTTCGAGTGACCTGCAGATTCTTGAATCTTCAAATTGCAGTAGCTGGGACACTGAGCTGTTCCACTTTGCCACAAAAAGAGGAGACCACCTCTCTGTATGGAATTGGGCAACTCAACACTGGGTTAACTGTGTTATTTGGCAACTATGGGTTAACTAGTTAACCCTCTTTGTAGAATGTACCTGAGTAGCCATGACATCTGTTATCTGTCACCAAAGAAGCATAATGAATTCAGAAAGTTCTGTCAGGACTCCTCTCCCACTTCCACTGCTCTGTTTTATATAAATCCTGCTTCCTACCTTCCCAGGGAAACCCAGATGGAATTAAGCTTCATAGATGTAAAAAGAGGTATATAAAGAAGCAAAAACTTCTATTTGGGACGCTTAAGACTGACAGGCTGAACTCGCTGAGCTACTGGCACTAAAGCCACTTTTTGCTCCTATCTTCGTGTTGAGTTGTCCATCCCAAGTCCTCAGTTTTCTGCTTCGCCTGAAAGCTTCCTGTGCTGAAAGCTTTGCTTGCCTCTTCCCCAATACACATCTTGCACTCTTTGATACATGCAGTTGCCATCGTCAGACCTGGCTGTGGAGAGAACCGGCTGCAGGCTCTACCACTCCAGCTACCTTGCAGCCAGCTCACAGCCAAAACCAATTGGATGGGGAAATCTAGAGAGGTTCCTCGAGGGTGCCAACATGTGGGCACATTTCAGGACCACTGGCGCAGCCCCTAGTGTAGACCCCTCTGGTCCTGCAGCTGTGCCCTAACCTGTCACCATCTGCCATCCCTGTGGCCCAGACACCACCAGGCTCAGGAAATGTAGTCATTCGTCGGTCTCCTCTTCAAGTGCCTTTTTCAAGGAGAAATATACCTCTCCTTAGTAGTGATTCCTGAGTCCCCCAGCTCACACTTCCTATGAATCAAAATACCCTGCATCACAAAGTTTTGACAATTTCTTAGTATCCATGCATTTTAGTCATTTTGCCCGTGATGATTTGTCTACCACTGGAGAACCGGGTTACCAGCTATGATCTCAGAGCCTGTTTTCTGGAGTCAAGGTCATGGGCAGAGATGGAACCCTGCTCCCTGGGCAGCTGTCTGTCCAAGCCCTTTCTCCAGAATGCCTCGGCCAGCCAGGGAGTACCGCGCCAGCAAGCTGTCCATGGTCTGTTCTCCAAAACACTGTTACTTTGCGAATTCCGGGCTGGGCTTGTCATAGCGCAGTCAGAGGTGACTGCAAGGAGATGCCTCAAGGAGGCCGCGGTTGTGGGGCAGTGCTGTGGGACCTAGGCCCACGCCCCTTCCGCACTGTGCCTCCGGGGCCTGGCGCACACAGCTCCTCTCCTCCACCCCACCCCAGGCAGCCCTTCTCCTCGGACCCATAAACTGCTCTTCCTCCCTCTGCTCTCAGCCTCGCACCCTCGACTCACAAGGACAGAGGCGCCTTTCTCCCACAGATGCTGGTCACTGCTGAGCTGGAGAATCCAAGCGCTCCGTGACAATTACACAAACTTGGGCTAGCAGGGCTACAGCGCTGAGGTCCTTTTCACTCCCATTCTGGCTCAAAGACAACAAAAACTGTTGGTGGACAGAAAAGCAGAGCTGCGGGGGTTACGGGCGCCGGAGGGGAGCAAGCTGCACCGCGCTTTGGGTCTCCACGCGCGAGCAGGGCCATTTGTGGGTGTGGACACGCAGACCTGGCGGGCCGTGGGATCCAGGGTCAGGAGCAGGACTTGGGATCCCATAGACCCCGGTCCCCGCGGGCGGCCTTGGGACCCCACAGACTTCTGCTGTGGGCGGGTCACTGCCTCACCCCTGGAGACCAAGAGGAGCCTGGGTGCCACTCACTTGTCCCAGGAACCCATCCACCGCATTGACCACACACAAGGGTGAAGTGGAAAGGGGGGGGAGGGAGGGAGGTGTTGGAGAAAGGACAGAACAGAGAGGGAAAAAAGTGGGAGATAAAGGAGACAGGACAAAATCAGGGATACAAAGAATAAAGAAGCAAGGACTGAGCAGGAAAGGATGCAGCAGGGGGTGGGGGGTCTGCAGCCAAGTCCTCCCCTGTCCGCCCCAAGACTGGGCTCTGCTTTTCACCCACTAAGATCTCAAGGCAGGATTCAGACCCTTTGAAACCCAAACATCCAGTGCACATAAAACTACAGCTTACTTCTAGTTATCATATTAAAACTAAAATCAAGATGGCCAGGCAGTGAATGACTGTAATCATAGTTGTAATCAATACTCTGGGAGGCTGAGGCAGGAGGATTGCAAATTTGAGGACAGGTTGAGAAAAACAGTGATATACTATCTAAGAAATAATTTTTTTTTTTAAAGCCAGGGTCTCACTATGTTATTCAAGCTGAACTTGAACTCACTATATAGCCCAGGTTGGCCTCAAACAGATTATAGGCGTGGGGCACCATGACTGGCTTTTTTAAAAAAATGGATCTGGGGGGTTTAAATCTAGGGCCTTTGCACTGAACTACATCCCTATATCCCTACATCCCTATACATTTTTATATTTTTATTTTGAGACAGAATCTCACTAAGTGTCTAAATTTTCAGTGCTGGGCTCAAACCCAGAATCCTCCTGTCTCAACCTCCCAACTGCTAGGGTTACAGGTGTATATCACCACAGGCAGCCTAAATAATAATGTTTTTGTTTGGTTTGGTTTGGTTTGGTTTGGTTTTTTGAGACAGGGTCTCACTATGTAGTTGAGACTGACCTGGAATTCACTATGTAGCCCAGGCTAGTCTTGAACTCACAGCGATCCTCCTGCCTCAGCCTCCCAAGTGCTGGGATTGCAGGCATGTGCCATCACACCTGGCTCTAAATAATAATGTTTAAAAGGGCTGAGGTTGTAGCTCAGTGGTCCACTGCTTCCCTAGCATCTACAGGATGCCCTGGGTTCAATTACTGATACGGATCAAAACAAACAAGTATTTACAGACATACTTTATGTATCCAGTTTTGTTAAGCTACTTCTGTTAAGAAATTAGGCCTGGTGTGGTGGCGCACGCCTATAATCCAGCACTTGAGAGGCTGAGGCAGGAGGATATCACTGTGAGTTCGAGACCAGCCTGAGCTACATAGTGAGTTCCACGTCAGTCTCAACTACATAGTGAGACTCTGTCTCAAAAAAAAATAAAAAAAAAGCAATTAGTATTTGTCAGGCTTGGTAGTATATACACACCTGTAATCCAGTACTCTAGGAAGCTGAATCA